GCGCGCTGCTCCCCTGGCCCCTAAATGCCGGTGGGGCCCGCCGCGGCTCCGACGCTGCAAGGATGGGGCGGGGCTGGGACGAAGCATTCGTTCCATGTATAGGATACCTTTGTCCGTGATAAAGGCATTTTAAATGTTTCTTCTGTAATTTTTGTTAGCACTTTTCATTAACTCAAGAACTGTAATATTTATTGAGTGCCTGTTCTGTGCCAGAAACTGTTCCAAACCCTGGGCCTACAGCAATTTGAAAAAAATAAATAACATAAACCCAGACATAGACATACCCGAAATCCCTTCTCAAGAGTTGTACACGTGCTTCTCCCACGATGCTGAAGTTACTTCTGGGATCTGGCTCCCGTCAAACCGTGAACTCAAGAGAGCAAAATGTGAGATAAATATTGTGTTATGCAAATATGGAAGCTGTAACCTAGAGCTAGTTCATGAAAATGCAGTTGGTCTCAAAGCTAGTAACTGACAGGGCTCCAGGCGTACTGTGCAAAAAGGTACTGAACAGCTCCTCTCCAAAGCCTGTAAAGATGCTGCACGTTTCCCCTATTCATCAATGCTTACCTGAGCATGAGTTCTGCCCTTGGTACTGTGCTAGGTGCCTGAGAGCCAAAGAACTCTGAGCCAGTCCTCGATTGCAAGGAGCTTAAATTCTGGAAAAACAACTAACACAAAGTAGAAGTCCTGAATTTAAGGTGACATATGAAAGGAAAAGGAAGTGGGACTCATTCTCTGCAGAAAGAAACTTCATCGTGTGTTTTGTTTTTGTTTTTGTTTTTTTTAATCACAATACCTAAGTGGACTCAAAAGTGAGCAAGTCCTGTGGGGTTTTTTTATTTTTAATAATTATTATATTTAACTTTATTTATTTTTAATTTGCTTGAAGGGACGGTGGGGGTAGTGAGAAAGCAAGCTATCAGGTTCAGAACTCAAAATGTGATCAGCAATGTGGGAGTCCAGTGCCCTTAACCACCACGCCACCTGCCAGCCCCAGTCCTGTGGTTTTCAAACCGTATTATTTATTATTTTTTAATTTGCCGCAGGGCACGTGCACTAACTGGAGAGAGAAAGAGAGGTCCTTCTATGGAGCATGGTCATGCCGCAATCCCTGCTCCATTTCTCCTTTTGAAATCTTGGGCATGTGTACATGTGCTTGGTGTGGCTTTCTTTCCTTTTCTTTTTCTTTTTTTTGAGAGATTTTTGCTATAGTGTACGTGTGCTCACTGGAGAAACAGAGACAGAAAGTGAGAAACACTCCCCCCCCCCGCCCCAGTGGGGAGGAGATGGCCACACCACAATCCCTTCTCTTCCATTCTCCTCTCAGGATTTCCACCACACAGAGCTCACATACCAAGCCTGAGTTTCAAGCTGCTGGGTCTGGGACTCCAGCTGTTAGCCATGTGGGAATCCAGTGCCCCAACCACTATGCCACCTGCTGGCCCCTTGGTGTGTTTTTGAAGCCATCAGGTCCAGGACTCAAACTATTCTGTTGTCCATGTGAAATCTAGCTGCCTTAGCCACCAGCTGGCCCAAACCATGTTATTATTAACTGTGGGCATAGCAGAAGTGGTTGAGAGATTCCATAAACTTTTTTTTTTTTTTTTTTTTAGGTTTTTGCCATAAGGTGCATGTACTCACCAGAGACACAGTGAAAGGGAAAGTGAAAAATTAGCCCCAGTGGGATGGCCATGCTGTAATCTCTTCTCCTCCATCTCCTCTTAGTTTTTTTTTTTTTTTCTTTTTTTAGAGGTTTTTGCTATAGGACACATGTGCTCGCCAGATAGACAGAGACAGAGAAACAGAAAGCAAAAAATCACTCCCCAGCCCCCAGGGGGGATGGCCACGCCACAATCTCTTCTCCTCCATTCTCCTCAGGGTACGCATGCACACGCGCCCGGCGTGAATTTTAAGCCACCGGGTCCAGGACGCGAACCGCGGTTGACTACGTGGGAGTCCAGAGACATAGCCATTACGCTAACTGCTGGTTCCTCCTCTTAGGTTTTGTGGCACACACGCACATGTGCCCAGTGTGAGTTTCAAGCCACTGGATCCAGGATTTGAACCATGGTAGGCCAAGTGCAGGTCCAACATTTTAACTACTATGCCACCTGCTGGCCTCCTCCAATGTCTCTTTTTCAGTCACAGTGGACGCAAGATGGAGGGCTTTCTCTTTTTCATCCTCTTTCTCTTCCTCACCAGCAGCCCTCTGATCATGATTCAGGCAGACCTAAGCCTTGGGGTGGACGCCAACAGGCCACAATGGAATCCCTTTCTCCTCCATCCTCCTCTAGGGACTTTGGACATGCACACACCTGTGCTTGCCATGTGTTTCAGGCCACTGAGTCCTGGACTCCAACAGTAGAGTCAGCCATGTGGGATCCAGTGTCTTAAACCACCACAGTACCTACTGACCGAAATCTCTCTCTCTCTCTCTTTTTTCAAGAGGTTTTTGCCTTAGGGTGTGTGCACTCGTGGGCTGGGAGTGGGGAGAAAGAGATATTCAGAGGGAAAGTGAGAAACCACCCCCAAGGGGGATGGCCATGTTGCAATCCCTTCTCTGCCATTCTCCTCCTAGGGTCTTGAGCATCTGGTGTGATTTTCAAGCCACTGATCCAGAACTCAGACTGTAGTTGGCCATGCGGAAGTCCAGCGATGTAACTGCTATTATCTGATGGCCCCAACTCTCTTTCATTTTTAAGTGAGGTATTAGAGCACATAGACACATACTTTAAAGAACCAAATAATTGGGGCCAGCCAGTGGTGTGGCTTAGGTGCTTGATTCCCATAGGGCCAACTGCAATTTGAATCCCAGACCTGGTGGCTTGCTTTCTCATTTTCCTTTTCTCTCTCTGTCTCTCTGGTCAAATTATTAAAATAATAATAATTAAATAATTCTTAAATAAAAGAGAGAATCAAATATTTGTTTAAGATCTGCTAGGCCTGGCAGATGGCATGGGGGTTAAGGGCGCTAGACTACTATATGGCTAACCAAGGTTCAAGTCCCAGACTTGGCAGCTTGCTTTCTCACCTTCCCTCTCTCTCTTTCTGTCTCACTCTCGCTCTGTCCTCTAGTCAGGTTAGAAATAAATAAATAGTTAAATAAAATAATTTTTAGGGACCAGCAGTTGGCATAATAGCTATGTCGCTGGACTCCCAAGTAGTCGACTGTGGTTCAAGTCCCGGACCCAGTGGCTTAAACTCACACTAGGTGCATGTGCATGCGTGCCCAAGATCCTGAGAGGAGAATGGAGGAGAAGGGATTGCAGCATGGCCATCCTCCCTGTGGGGGTGATTTCTTGCTTTCTGTTTCTCTGTCTCTCTCTGTCTTTTTGGCAAGCCCATGTGCCCTATAGTAAAAAACTCTCAAATAATAATAATAATTTTTTAAAAATCTGCTAAGACACAGTAGAGCCCTGCCCCCACCATTTTTCCCTCCCCTGAGGCAAAGATTTTCAGTATTTTTGCTGTTTCTTTTGGCATTTACTAAACTTCGTATCTGTGGCTCTCTTCCAACTGTACCCCTTCCCATGAATCAAGGTATGCAAGGGCATGTGCCTATCCAAAGCCCACCCACCCCCATATAGACCATATTCTGCATGCAGAGACCCTGGAATGCCTTGCCCAGTTTGCAAGGGGCCTGCATCAGCCTCTTCCTTAGGTCTCTTCTTGCCAGACAGACCTTGCAGATAGTAGGGGCATCCCTAGGCCTGATGGATAGCCAGAGGCAGCTGTTTGCAGAGAGAGATGTGAGCACAAGTTAGGGTGTCCACAGGACCTTCTGGAGGCTCTCTCATTGCAGGACAAAACAGGGCAGGGGGAAGGGCGTCAGGCAGAAGCCAGGAGCAGGGAGCTACTACCATTTTTTAGTGTAGAACTCTGGAGAGTCCAAAAATTCTTAACTTAGAACCTGGCCTTTCAGGTCTTTATGAAGGTATATTTTTGGAAAGTTAGAGGTTAGAAGTTCTTTTAATAGTTTGTTAACTTGTAGCATTGAAATATTTAGTATGCAAGTCTTTATGAGCAGTCTTGCCCAGCCCCATAAATACTAGGGGAAGGTTTGAGGATTTAGGTCTTTTCCCTTTTTTCTCCCAACTACTTAAACATTATTTCTATCTCCCCTCTGCCAAATTTCTTTTTTTATTTCTTTTTTTAGAGAGAGAGAGATTTTTTTTTGGAGAGATTTTTGCTATAGGGCGCATGCGCTCGCTAGACAGACAGAGAGACAGAGAGATAGAAAGTGAGAAATCACCCCCCAGGGGGGATGGCCACATCGCAATC